CACACCTTGACTTCCAGCACTCAGGAGGCTGAGCCAGGAGAATCACAGCAGTTCAAGGCCAGCCTGAATTGCATAGTGAGACTTAGTCTCAAAAAACAAAACAAGGGCTGGGGAGATGGCTCAGTAGAATAAGCACTTGCCCAGCAAGCACAAGGACCTGAGTTCAATTCCTGGTTCCACCAGAAAAAAAAAAAAAGACTTGTAATGGAAAAAAACAAAACAAACAGTCACCCCCTTCCAAAAAAAAAAAATGCCCCTCCTTTTTTTTCAGTGCTGAGGGTCCAACTTGCCCAGGATCTCGGGTAGCCTCAGCAAGGATACTACCACTGAGCTACACTCTGCACACCTTGCAGTCATTTGTGATGCTTTCTCTCTCAACCCAATCCAACCCATCAGCAAAACCCAGCTGCAGATTCCTTCAAGATACACACAGATTGGGTCACTGTTCGCCGTCATGCAGGCCTGCTGCCCTGGTCTCCTCACTTTTCTCTGTTCCACCTTTGCCTTTCACACCACAATATTCAGTTTCCTGGGCTGGCTCAGCCTCCTGTCAGTGCCTGTGCCCCTGTGAGCCAGGCCCAGGGTCCCTCTCTGACCCCAGGACTTCTGTCCCTCTGCTTCACTCATACCAACCTCCTCACTGCACCCATTCCTGCCTTGGCTCAGGCACCGGCTAGCTCCTCTGCTTGGAATTCCCTGCAAGGGAGCATAATCCGGAAATGACCTTGTGGCCCTTGGTACCCAGCATTGGTGCCATCTCCTCGTGCTTCAGTGGGTGGGATCTGTCTTACTTTCTACCAAGCAGAAAATGTGGCAAAAGTGGTGGAGCACCACCCTACGGTGTGCTGTGCGATGCGGCAGAAGCAGAGGGTTCTGCGGATGTGGTACGAGCCGCTGATTCTCACTTTGACTTTGGGCAGGCGCCCTCAGCCTCCGGTGCTGCAGACGCCGCATGCTGCAGGCCCTGGGGCGCAGGCTGTCTGGCTTCTACAAGGAAGTGAATTCTGGCCTCGATCACAAGGGCTCCAGAAAGAAACGCAGCCCGGTCAACCCGCCGCAGACTGCGGCAATGGGACTCTGAGCAGAGAAAACAGTGACAAACAAAAAGGTATTGTTTTTAAGATGATAGGTTTGTGGTCAGTTGTCACACAGTTACAGAAGACAAATGCTCTCTTCACCAGAAGTCCATACTACTATCCTTACAGTGCCCCCCCCCAACTTCCTCCCAGCCACAATTATGTGCGCATGCGCACCTGTGCTCTGCGCAGGGAACCCACAGTCTTGTTACTGCTCTTCCTCTCAGCTAAACACCAGACCCCTTAGCATATGTTTACTGCTTTTTTAAATTTTATTTTTATTCTTTTTTTTTTTCCCCTGTATTTAAGATAGGGTCTACAGGATCTCACTACGTAGATTGGACTTGCTATGATTCTCCTGTTTTCAGCCTCCCAAGTGCTGGGCATACAGGCCTGCACCACATGCCTAGTCTCAATCGTCGGCTTGGCACGGCACGCTAGGGATCGAACCCTGGCCACTGTGTCTGCCTAAGCAGGTGCTTTAGTCCGCTGAGTTACCAGGCTGGCCCTGTTTATTGCCTTTTAAATGTTTGTGCTTTATCTTTGTTTCTTATATTTGCCTTTTGTGACTATTGCAGAATAGCTGAGATAATTAACTTATTTTTTTCTTAGATAATTAACTTATAAAGAGGAAGGGTGTTTTGGGCCTGAGGTTTCAGGATTTTGGAAGTTGCGCTGCACTTGGTTGGCACTGTTGCTTAGGCACCTCGTGGAACAGCAAAACCAAACCGCGCAGCTCCTGGTCAGGAATCAAAGTCAGAGCAGAGGAGGGTGATCTGAAGATCTCCCTCAAGGCCCCATTGCTCAAAGGTGCCCCTTCCTAATGATGTCTCCTGGAGACCGACATCTAACATGTATTGACATCATCAGGCGTAAAACCTGCATAGAAAGAAACAGGTTCACTAGAGACAGAGAGAGAAACGGGTTCACTAGGGCCAAGAGAATCTGCAAGAGGATGAGTTGCCCAGACGAAGGCGGTGGGCTCCGTGGGGACCTAATGCCATGGCAATTTATGAGTGTGTGTTTCCTTTGGGTGAGCTCAATGTGTCCACAGGCAGGAGGGAGGTGGCTGCTGGGGTCCAGCCCTTGGCAGCTCCAGGCCAGGAATACCAATGAGCACATCTGACTGAGAAGCAAAACAGCAGCTGCTTCGGTCAGCCTGACCAGCATTGGAGACTCAGGGACAGTGATATGGGCTCAGGAAGGCTCTGGGACCTGCTTGACCTCAGCACTTCCTTGAAGAAGGAGAGCAAGAGGGCGGGAGAGCCTGGCACTGTCCTACTCGCCTGTCCCAGGGCAGAGGGGCTGGACAGGGTGTTTTGGCCTTGGCCACCTGGCCTCTAACACTTGCTCTCACTTCTTGCTGCAGGTCTGTTCCTAGGGAGCCAGGCAAGATGTATTCACTGCAGAAGGTCCTAGGGACGGCCCCTGTGGAAGGGAGGGGCACATGGGTGGGCAGAGGGAGAACTGGCCCTTTCACTGAGGTCCTGCATTTGGGCCCAAATGGATCAGCCACTGTCTGTGGCCACCTGCAGAGGGTGTGTCCCTGGGCCAAGCCACTGCAGGCCACATTCCAAACCCCTGAGCGACAGTGCTTTCTTACATAGGAGCATAGGCAGTGTTTTTGCTTTCGTACGCACAGCTCTGACCAGCATCCCTTTCATGGAAGCAGTGTTTTTTAAAAAATTGTTTTTATTTTGAGGTAAGTTTAAAATGCAAGAAAAGCCCTCAAAAGGTTTTGCTGTTGGTGGTTGATAATGATCATACGCAAGGCCTCATGCATGCTGAACAAGCACTCCACCACAGAGCTACACCCTGGCCCTTTTTTT